AGACCCGCCTAGCACCAGGGCGCCCCACGTCCGCTCCCTGAGGGCATAGGTTTCTATACTGCATTCCTGAACTCTTTGCACTAATGAGCCCAGGCCTTTTTCCCGTCTCGCCGCTACGCATATGGGTCTTTTTCCGCTCTCCTGTTCCCCACAGTTAGTCCCTTTGGGCGTCCGTGACAGCTGGTAGCAAGTGTATAGGAAGTTCGCAACACATCTCATAGCAGCTAATCACCCCTGTGCATCACCACTGCCAGGATTGTGTTAATGTACATGGAGGTCATTCCAAATACTAACTTTGTGATGTTTCCATTTTAACTATACTATGCTCCTCTGTGTCTTTTGGAAAAGCAAAGAAGTGTTAATACTGATTGGTTTCTCAATGATGTCACTGAAAATCTTCAGGGCAGGTAACTAAGGAGATCCTGCTGTATAACATAGAGAAAAAAACAGAGCACGTCACCCTCAAGCAAACTTGACAGCACTGGGATAGATGTACAATACCCCTTTGTGAATCTAGGTCATGGTAAAATACAGTAAATGTCATAGCCCTAATATGCTATTAATAATACACAACGTTTCGGCCGTGGAGCCTTCTTCAGGTGTGCACACCTGAAGAAGGCTCCACGGCCGAAACGTTGTGTCTTCTTTCTTCTTTTTTTCAGCATGGAATAAACCTATTACTTGTTCCTTTGCAGCCTACGCATGCTGACGCAGCTACCCACCTGATTAATAATACAGCAATGTTTTTTCCAAAGGGTTCAACCAATGCTAGCCGAGCTACTCAAGAGTCCCAGGTGTAAATATGATTAGGTGATAACATATTTGATATCTGGATATCTTATATCTTATTGATTTCATGAAGAAGTGTTTATTGTTATTTGGTGGCAGTCTGACATGCTTACGTTTGATTTGTAGCTCACACCATGGATATATCCATTTGTTGAGAAATATCATGCTGTACATATCCATTATATTTTAGTGAACTTCATTTTTTTTTCTTTCAGGTGGTATGCTTTAATGGAAATCCATATGTTTGTTGCTTTGGCTCTTTATAAATATGAGTTCACTCTTCTTGATCCATTGGCGAAACCAGTGAGTAAAAAGTATTAAATAAAAAAAAATGGAAAAGTTAAATGAAAAGCAGATTTTGTGGGGAAGTGAAAACTGAATTTAAGGGGGAAATGTAGGTACTGTAGGTATATTTTGTAGGTCTGAGTGGATATACAAGGTAAATGATGATCATCAGAAGCTCAGATATTCTTACAAGCAAGAATGTCCTCTTGCTTAGCTACAGTATGTTAAAGAATGACGATTCTCACTACATTCTTCACTACAGTATCTTCTGATATTTCCTCTTAGAAATATCATCAGAAATTGGAAAACATGCTTAAAGCTGAAAGCACATAGTCTTCCAACACAACATAATGTGTAGATGTTTGAGAAATCTTGTTATTTGGACAGTTTTTGAGTTCGATTTTCTTTTCATATAACCTGCTGCTTGTTTGATTTTCCATTCTCTCCCCAGAGCTCTCTTCACCTAGTGGGGACTCAGCAGCCAGTTGGTTCTTGCAGGGTTCAGTACCAACACAGATAATGTCTCAAAATCTCAAATGGGATCTGTCTGGTGTTTTGCCCTCCATCTCATCAAAGGATCCTCTTTCCAAATTCTAAATTCTTTCCAACTAGAAAAAAATAGTTTTAACTAAATATTTATGGGATGTTATTATCTGAAGTTTGGGAGGGATAACAATGACAAATTAATCTCACCCAGCTGTTCGTAATCACAGTCATTATGGAAATTAGCTATAAACAAAGTATAATGTACACAAACACCTCCCATTGCATTTGTCTCAAGCATCCCTCACATTTCCACTTTGTAGCTCTTGGTTAACTCCTCTCTGAATGAGGTTTGAGCTTCTAATGGCCAGATGGCAGTTCATTAACCATGGGGTTAAGCCAAACCCATCCTACCAAATAATCTAATCACAAAGCATCTAATTCTTGGATATCATTATCCCTCGTAAAATAAGACCAATATTGTCTTAATGAGAAACAGTTCAATGTATAAGACAGTGGTCAGATAAATCTTTCAGAGTGCCTGAATACGTGTCTTTATAAACATTTTAAATGGCTCTTTTTTGATCTTGCAATATTAGGACTTTTGTTGTTGTTGAATTTTACCAATAGCTAAGACTTTGAAAGAAACACTTTGAAAGAGCTTTAGCTCTCTGTACACAAGCAGGACAATACTATGAACTAAGAAAAATGTAACAGGTAACCATGATCTTATCTATGACCATTACTTCACAAAACCGATCTGGCATCAACTGACATGAACAGATTTGTTGAGATTGTTTTTATTTGTTTAGATGGTGACACACGATTCCTTAATAAAAAACTGAATGCCAAAACCTTGTCATGCTTTGAATATTATGATTTCCTTTGATACACACCATATGGTAGACTACTAAAAATGTATTGAATTAACATCTGTCAGTCAGGTTTGGAACAAACACAGGAACATTAGAAACAAGTTTCTGAATTTAAAAGTTAAAGTACAGTACTACCAATTACTATTTCATAATATTTACAGAAGCATGGTTTACAGATATTTTATATTAGTGGGTATAGAATGCTCAAGACTGAAAAGGTGGTGTGAGAATAATTTATTTCCAAAATAGCAGTAGACACATACAAATATAAAAATGTAGACACAATACATTCAGAACTAGCGCTTCATCAGGAACGAACCGGTCCTCTCCCTGACTTGCTGGGACCCACAAACATAGTTTTCCATTTTCCTCACACAGACTGGAAACAGACGATTAAGAACATACAGTGTATGTACAGTAGCTTGAAATGGTAGAAATACTGAATGATTGCATTCTTACCCAGCTTTACCTAACATTTACAGTACTTGAGTGGTCAGTGTGTGCAGTAATAATGGGTCTCATGATTTCAGAATATAAAACTCTTTGAGGTAGTGAATTTCAAACAAAGACTCAACCGAGCAGACTGAAGGAGCTTTCAAAGAAAGGGATAATGTCATTGAAAAGTGCAGATCAAAAGAAGGGTACAAAATTATTGAAGTCTCTGGGTATCCCTGTGAGCACACACTTATCAAACACAAAAAAAATAGAGTGTATCACACTATCCTGACAATGCGTAGATCAGCCCATCCCTAAAAACTGAACAGCTGGACAGGGAGGAAACTGGTGTGAGATGCCACTGTGAAGCAAGGACAAATTTGAAAGAGCTACAGAGTTCAATGACTGAGATGGGAGAAAATGTGCATCAGTCAACAGGATTCTAGTCATTCCACAAACCTGGTCTGCACGAACAAGTGGCAATCCTGTCTCAAACTCTGTGAAGACTTTGCAATTGACCACCTGAGTGATCCTGCAAATAATACTCCAAAGGCGTTACTATCACATAAAATCAACCTGGAACTTTTTTGGTCTAAATGGTGTTATATTTGGTGTGGACCCAACAATAATACATCTCTCAGTCATGCTTTCCCTGCAGTCCTACTGGGAAAAGAGCCTGAAAAGCTTGTTTTGACTGAAGGAAAAATGGTCAGAGCAAAATACAGGCCGATACTGTTTTGGTCTGTTAAAAAAATCACCTGTCAGCAGGACACAAGGCCAAAGCTACACTGGAGTGGCTTAAGAATAATAAAGTTAATGTCCTTGAGTGGCCCAGTCAAAGTCCTGACTTGATTCCTATAGGGAATCTATGAAAAGACTTGAAACTGTCTGTCCACAAATGATCCCCAAGCCACAAGAGAGCTTGAGCAAATCTGCCAAGACAAATGGGCAGACATAGTAAGATCTGAAAATACTTTTGCTTTATTTATTAAAAGATGACACAAGGCCATTGTAGCAAGCTTATTTAAACAATTAATCCAGCACATTAATGACTGATCAGGGACTTACAGTCTCACATTTTGCAGGATGTGTTTGTACAAACCAGATTTACAGTACATAATACACATGGTCTGCAGTACTTTTTAAGATTCAAACATTTCACTTTAATGTTGTTTTTGTATTACTGCTCAGTTTATCTTACTTTAAACTGCAAAAAAGTGAAATTGCAGTATTAAAATACCTACTGCGTATCCCTTCTTATCTAATAGCCAGGTTTTGCATACTGTACTAAAGGGCATTAAAGTTGGTTTAAATACTAATCTCCCACTTTTTTAAAGCCTCTCAGGGTATGTTATTTATTTCATAAATATTAATATATAAATTATATGAACTTTCATTTGATGTAAAAGTAATATTAAAAAATGGATCTTTTCAATATGTGTTGGCAGAAGTGATAAGAAGGCACCCCTTGCATTGTTTTGATGTAAATGTATGTTTCTAAAATCTTCAATTGTTAGGAAAGAAGTTTGCTTGTAGTGCATACTGTAGTTATATTGAATTACCTCTTCCCTTATCATCATAGTAGGAACATAAGGAAAGATACAAAAAGAGAAGGCCATTTAACCCATCTACTAGCTAGTAGTAGCTAATAGATCTAAGGATCTCATCCAACTGTTTAGTGAAATAAGTTAGGGTATAAGCTTCTTTTAACTTGTTAGTGAGAGCATTACCTTATGAACTGGAGAGTATCTGGTTGCTCTAATAACTGCAGTGTGCTATCATTTTTTTTAAAATAAAACTTTCGGATTATTTAACACAATAGTGAGCTTTTGTTCCCGTTTTGGAATCTCATCCAAGAAAGAGCACCACAAATGGAATGTGTTCATAAGAACCTTTAAAAGATCTTTAACGGATAAATATATGATGTCACAATGCACTGGATATAGAACACCACTGGAATCCACTCTTAGATCAATTTTTAAACTACTGACATTATAATGTTAAAACGACATTACTATATTGCTACAAGACATGTCTGTCAGCATACAGTATGTGGTATTTTCTTTGAAATTCAGCCAAAGAAATTACTGTCTGCAATCTTTCACTTGTACAATGTTCCAGGACCTAGACCAAAAATGATCTTTTTCTTTTGTGCCAGCCTCAATCTGAAAATGTGGTATTTTCAGATTTAAAAGTGAGTAAAACATATACGGACTTACATAGCAAGACTTACTAGTGTAATAAACACTTATACTGTATATACGTACATATATACTTATAGTACGATATACACCGTTTATTGCCAGTTTGCACTTTTGTAGACACTCCATTTTGGTATATTTTGTAAAAAGGACACCCTTTTAAATCATTGTTACAAATTCTCATCATTTTTAAAAGTAATGCAAGTGCAGTAATGCAAAGTCTGCATTGCACTTTAATCATACAGTACATTATTTGTGTGTAAAGTACAGCAGCTGAAAGACACCTGCATTGTGCAGAATGAGGAAGACTGCTGTGCTGCTGTCCTGTTGATAGCCACGAGAAAAACAGAGAAAATGTTAACCCTTAGCCATCCTAGAATTAGTATTTCTGCTGACAAAATGTAGATATGTATGTAAATGTTTTTACACGTTGAGTAAGTCATATACAGTATAAGTAATAGGTTTATTCCATGCTGAAAAAAAGAAGAAAGAGAACACAACGTTTCGGCCGTGGAGCCTTCTTCAGGTGTGAGGTATTGAACACCGCTTCAATACCAATGACTTATATACAGTATAAGTTGTGATCTTTGCCTGAGTAAGTCATGCATGTATGTAAGGCATATATCTTTCATCTATGACCTGTTTAACACTGTTAGAATGGCTAAGAAAAGCATAGAAAGAAAGAAAATGTCTGCCTTTTAACTTAATGCTACTTGCATTCCAACTATAGTGACCCTGATAAGTAATACAGTTTTTTTATTGATGAGATCTGATGGAACGTGCTCTTGGATTTTCCACCACTGCTGATGTCCATGTTGGGTTTTAGGGCAGTTAAGCATGACAAAGATTAACATAGAATAGACAGAGTAAAGCTGCAGAGTGAGAATAAGAAGAAAATATTGTAAGTCTAGTGAATGAAAATGGACATAATCCAAGGCACATGGGGTCTCAGAAAAATATGGATTTGTGCTAAATCATGTCTCAGTTTTTAGAGTGACTTGGATAATCTGAAAATGCTTTTACTGTTCTTTAAGTGGTGTTCTTTGGAAAGTCTGACCATGGTTAGATGATATTAATATTTAAAGTAGAATTAAACAGTTGTCAAACACACACTGAACTGTAAAGGGAATTTATTACAGCTGTACAGAGTTGCACATCACTGGTACGTCAATTTCATTGGTCTCGAGTTAGCTACTTGAGTGCTGTATAGGTTGAAGCTTGCCTGGCAAATGTAATCTTGTCAGCAAAAATGGCATTGCTCCCCTACTGGAACCCTGCTGAGATTCTCACACTGATGCTACAGACACAGAGAATCTCATGCTGATGCTGTAGTAACTGAGACTCACACTTATATGTACAGTAGATACTGAAATTTTCACACTGATGCTGTAGACACCATGAAACCCATACTGATCGTGTAGACACTGTGGGACTCATATGGATGCTGTAGTCACTACTGATGCTGATACTGGTGTGTCTACTGATGCTGTAGACATTGATGTTGTCGTGATCCGCACACTGATGTTGTAGGCAGTGTGAGACACTCATGCTGTAGGCACTGTAAAACTCACACTGATGCTGCAGGCACTGTGAGACTCACAATGGTGCTGTAGGCACTGTGAGGCTGATGCTGTAGGCAGTGTGAGACTCACATTGATGCTGTAGGCACTCTGAGACACTGATAATATAGGCACTGTGACACTCACAATGATTCTGTAGATACACGTACAGTGAGACTCAAAATAACACTGTAGCCATTGAGACTCACACTGGTGCTGTGGACACTGAAGAGAACTGCGTTCATTTTAACATTTAGAATAAAAGTATAATTAGTGTGATTTGCAAAATTAACACATGGACACATATCAGATGATTGTTAGAATTGCTGATTATGCAGAATGTTTAGGATGTATAAAAACATAATTACTCTGTTGGTGGAAATAATTGTAGTGATATTTAAAACATCCTTCTCAAGTCTGCAATAATAACATTTTTTTATGTGTTTTGTATTATATCTGAAGTTTTCTGAAAGTAGCTGATCTAGACCTTGTGTGCTGATTATCCTCTCTCAAGTCCTGAACTGTGTTTTTCTCTGGCTTATTGAAATACCACTCTTTATAAAGCATTTGGAAGTATTTGTTAAAAATAAAAGGCCATTAAAAAACACAGCATTGACTGATTTTTTTTTAGTTGCTTTTGAGTTCTCCTACTTTACTGATGCAGGATAGCAATTGATGTTTTAATCCTAAGCAACATTACTCCTACTAAGAAGATTTTCTGTCATGCCATTTCCATTTTAATGTATCAACTTATATGTCTTTCTTTTTCATCAGATTAGTCTTAATCATGCAGTCTTTTGGGTTGGAATTAAAACAAAATCAGATTTGTGAAAGATGGCACACCTGTTAAATTTTTCATTGAAAAGATTAAAATTGCATAAGAGATATATCTTCTGCTTCAACATGAAAAACAATCAGCCCCTTTTTTTACATTGATTCAGATTCTGCCACTTCAGTGTACCTTACAGTGAGAATGCAAAACCAGGATTTTCACAAAATTGTGAAACATCTGTAACATCACATATGCGAAGTCATGCACATAACAGTGCTGTTGGCATTTTTTTCAAACTTTCCACGATTTGTAGCTTCTGTAGAATGGTGTATTATGGGATGCGTGTAGTTTAATGTAGAAGATCACCGAGCTTCAAAATCCTGTAACTAAATGTGGAAAATACAAGGCCTTTAATCTTCATAAAGCAGCAATTCCACTACAAAAAATACATCTGGAAGAACTAAAATCTTTATGATTTAGGAAACAGAAAGTGATTATTTTTATAAATGGAATATATATACATACAGTACAGTATATCAATACCTCCATTTTAAAAATTGTAGAGACTTTGTTGGTAAAAAGACTGACAATTCTCATTCAATACATGCTGTCTGTACAGTACATATTTCAATTTCCAGATCTGTGTTTATAGTGTACATTCTTACAACTTCTGTAACTGAATTTAAAATGCAGAGCATGAAATTTAAGTAGTTCCATTAACTGAGAAATTCTCAATTTCTCTTCAGCCTTTTGGTTTCAAACTGCCAGGGTCGATGTGGCTATTACATAAAAAATAAGCACCCCTACTTAGAAATTACTAAGTATCTAGCTGTTGAAAGAATTCATCATTAATATTTTACCCATTGCTCTCACCATTTTCATTTCCTGGAGAATTGATCTTTTTGTAGAATAAGTGCAAAAATATAATTATTGTCTATATAGAGTCTCAAAGATGATTTGTTTACCAAATGCATTTTTAGTATGTAGATATACTATCTTGACACCTGGCAAGTCCAGTCCAATCTAAGTACCTTTAACAGAATACAGCACTCTCCTCCAAAGAAGGAAAGTTTAATTTTACATGAACATCACCTCCCCTCTTAGTTTAGATAACCAAGATCCAGTATTGTGATTTCAGTGGAAACAAACTTTCAATCTGTAAATGTTTTTCACAGTATTACTATGATGACAAAGATACTACAGTATAAAAAGATTCCCTACACTGCATATAATTAGTCACATAGCAGTGATTATAACAAGACATTTAGTAATGACTGTTTTTCATAGAACATCTTTAAAGCAACTTAAAAACCTCAATGGACTGCATCTATCAGTAGCTAAATGTGGATTCAAGACTTCAAGAGTTGCACGCAGCACATTGAAAAATCTGACTGCCCTTAATAAGTAAATGAAAAAACAGAGGTTACTGTGTTTGGGTCACAACCTTTTGAACTAAGCCAAATTTAACACTTAAGAAGTAGCCTGTATTAAAGGGCCAGTTACATATGTTAAGGACTTGGGCCAGGTCTGATGAATTTATATTAAATGCCCTGTTAACTGCATCGTCAAGAAAAAATACAAATTTATTATTACAAATAAAAGAAAACATAATTTTAAAGTATATTATTTAATAATGTATATTTTCAGCCATAGCATACCCGTCCGTGATACATAGCACAGACCTACAGTACTGTGATACAACAAGTTGTTATTTAAAATGTTAATTCATACATGTGTATAACATGCTTGGTTCTAAACACCGAAAAGGACATCTCAATTTGTTTCATTAACTTCTACGTTTCCTTTCATCAGATTAACTGCAATCTGCGGGAATACTTTGTGCCTTTGCAGCTGTATGTACAGTGTAACATACGGAGACGAGGTTGCTTGAAGTACCTTTTATTCGCAGCTTTTTTTAGAAGCCCCACCGCTTATCGTATTGGTCATAGAATGCCCCCTGTGGACAGAACTGTATTTCATTACTGGGTAACGCAAACATGAAGTGAAGGGCTCCAGGCAGTCATTGGTGAGTCGAATTGTCTGTTGCACAGACGTCAGGAGATTAGCGGCTCGCAGCTGGAATACAAGGTTGAATCGCAAAGACGGGAAGGAGGCATAGCAAGAGCTGAAAGTGGGCATCGGAAAGCTGCATCCTGTACTCTGACAGGTAACCTAATGCATGTGCTATCTTAATAATAATAATAGAAACCGTGTTTGCGCAAGTCGCATTTTTTTCTGCATTCAAAGTACAGCCTTTAAATAAATGCAGTTTTCGTATCTACAATTCAGTTTTTCTAAAAAAAAAAACTATCGGGATATTTAAGTTTTTTTTGTGACCATGACCAGCTTCTCAATATTAGTTTGGCGCTGCATACTGTATACTGTACAGGTGCTTTTACGTTACAAATGTTTTTTTTTTTATCGGTGGATATAAATAATAAAAAAAAATGTTTCTGGCCCCACACTGTGCTCTGTACAAAATGAAGGCAAATCCGTGAGTGTGAGGTTTTTTTTTTATTTCCAACCTAATCCTAGTCTCATATTTGCATCCAAACTGCATTACAAGAAATTCAAAAATTGTAAGAGTAGCGACCGGTTTAAGGAAGTTGATGAATTTGATTTTATGCGAGGTACATACAGTACGGTACAAGTGCATGATTTGGAACTCCTTAGGGATATGAGCATTATATGAAAAAAATGGGGCTATCCAAGTGTTTTTCTCATACAACAGGTTATAAACATGCGCTCTAAAGTATCATTTTATTTCATCATATTGTTCTGCTCTGTTGTAGTTTTCTAAGCATTTGAAACTTTACCAAAGGTCTAATGATTATAGACTTGTTTTCCCGTCTGGACAGTTGTGTGAAATTTGTACGATTTAAGTCACGAAAGGACTAATTAAACATTGTATGGAGTAATATTATTTTATTTACTTACAGAATGCTTCTCTTGTCGTTTGATTAATTAGCAGAATGCCAGAAATCCTTTTTTCCTTAAAATAAGAAAAAAAAATGTATCTTTACATTCCGTGATAACCAAACATTTCAGAGAGGTACTGGGAACCTGTTACCCTCATGTCACCAGTGAAATATCTGTGCGTGTGTTAATGTCTGAGCTGCGGGCTTTTGTATAGGTCCTGCTTTCTGATGCCCAAAACCGTACAAGGTCATGTTAGTTAATCTGATCTACTCAGCTTTTTAGTCAGGGAAGATGCCCAGCAAGTGCATTCAAGCAGTAGTTTACAAGGGATACATACAGTACATATACATACAGACCAATGGAAAACCTGGCTGTTAATCGTGGTGTAGAACTTGGAAATACACAACCTTTAATGGAGTTGTTAAACAGATGTTTTGGAGGAGGTCACACAGTAATATTCCACTCTCTTCTGTATAAAATACTTGTCTGCTGAGCCCCTTCACACGGATCAATTCCAGCACCCTTCCCTCCACACCATCTTCACCCTTGTAGCAGCCTCCATGATTCATTTCTCGCAAGAGAGAGTCTTTTTAGCATCCCTGACTTTATGACCATGGTTGTCATTTTCTCAGCCAGGCATGTTAAAGCTAAACAGTAAACTATTAAGTGCTCTATCCCATAATATTTGTCATCTCATTGCTTTAATTAGAATTTGAATGGACTACTGAACTAATAATAAATTCCATGGGTTTTGTCATTGTAACCAAAAGGTAATTTAATGGATTATAAACCATACTTTGCATCCCTTAAAATAAAGTATTACCAAATGTTTAGTGCTGTGTTTCCTCTTAAAAAGAGCCCTATTTAACTTTCTGGGTGTTTCATGATCAGAATATAATTTTTAATATGGGAACTGGGTTCTGTGTGTAGCCCATGCAACTCAGTAGTGAACTCAGATAACTATTTTTATCCAACATCTTCATGTCAATAGTGGCATGCGGCTGAGATAACATGATAAAGAGATTGCCTTGGCAGGAAGGTTTTCAGGGCGGCACCTTTGATGCCTGTAGAGTAATGAATAACGTGGATTTTCTCAGTGTTAGTCCTGTTCAGATTTTGAAAGCAGTTTAATAGCAATTGAATGCTTTATTTAATGCATCTATATTTGGTGGAATACTGTATATGAAGAAATTAATAGTCTGAATTCTGTTAGATTTCACTTTCATAGTGTGCAGAATATAATAATAATAATAATAATAATAATAATAATAATAATAATAATAATAATAATAATAATAATAGTATATGGTTTGTCCTTATCTAGTAACATGTATTTGTGGAAATAAGTTTACAAATTAAGTTAAACAGAAACAATATATTTGTTTAGCCATTAAACATTTATGTTTGTTTGGCATTCAATAAACATTTGCATTTTAAATCTGAAATAAGAGCTAAATTTGGATGAAAATTATGGGAATTCCTTGGCTAATTTTGTATTATCACACATTATCTTTATCAAAAACCATTTATGGCTGAACAAAATATAATTTAGTACTTTTTAATTAATGTATTTATTGTTACATACTTATTCAACACATCTAAACATTATTTATAGAACATGTGATGTGATGACATTTCAAAAAAACATCTGTAAACATAGAAATTAAAACATAGAAATGTTGGATCTCATTCAGTTTCTGATCTTTATTGATTAATTTTAACTGCTAATGTTATTTCTCAGAGTTCAGTTTTCTTACTGTTTTTACAAGCTGATTTGAAATAAACAGACTCCTAGTCAAATGTAATGTACTGTATCTATCCATCATCAGATAGCTGAATGTTGGAAGCACGGGGAATAAGACAGGAACTTAACCCTGGACAGGAACACTAACTCATTGCACATGTTTTGCTGTTTTACAATTTAGAGATACCAAATCAATTTAGCCAAGGTTGAAGGAAACTGGAATGCCTCAAAAAACATGCACAGACATGCAAACACCACACAGAATGTCTTCCAGCCTGGTATTAAACATGGGATGGTGAGACAGTTGCTGTCACGTACACATTGCATTGTATGAATGTACAGTTATTTTACAATTTTGCTCTCCCAGTGAAAAAGAATGCTTTTGCTCTATGCAATTTAAAGGAAATGTTATAAAACAATTTCACATAAACAGTTTGCTAGAAGTGGAACTATAAGCTTGCATTTCAAATTTTTGTCTGACCAAGACCATTTTAAAAAGGTCCTAAATTAATCCCTGCTGGTGATTAGTACTGTATGTTTTAGGATTATACATTCTGTCAGTGTTCAAAAATGTAAAGCAACAGTTTTGATGGTACAGTAGGTTCTTTTAGTCACAGGAGTTTACATTTTTCCTCTCCTGGGCTATTGTTACCAGTCCCTTCAATCCAGGGCTGCCACTGGTCTAAACATTGTTCTGTTATTTTTCCCATATTCATTGGACTAATACTTGCAGACTGGATTTGAATTAAATACTAATTACACTTTAGTTGCTCTAGGCAATTTGGCCAATCTCATTCTTGGAACAATTTATTTCTAAGTTCATTTGTTTTTTTTCCTGAAATACGTCCTGACTTTTAGCCTGCTTGGTCATTTTTTTGGGAGAAGGAGGACTTTCATGCACTTTTCAACATGTCACCTGCCTAATTTCGCAACATTCTGAATTTGATGAATCGGTTTATTGTTTGCCATGAACAAAAACAAATGCAAATCAGTTTGCGAAATGCTTGGTGTTTTTGTGCCTTTTCAGTGGTCCTCAGTCTATATTTACAGACGTTCAGAGCAATATTGTCCAGTCTGCCTAGCAGTCTATCTTTAGCAGCTTGTGTATACCAATGGTGGAGTATTGATCTTAAAATAGCATTGTGACAGCATGCATGATGGCAGTGACAATGATGTCCTGCTCACAGTTCAAGTATGTCATGACAGATCACTGATGCAATGGGAAAATGTGCTTGAAATTCTTGTGTGGAATGATGCATTAGTGTTTATCCAATGGGTAAAGCAGTTTTACTTTTGCCTAAAGCCCATCATCAAATACTTTTGCTGCATTCATGATTTAATACATCTTATGATATATATTTGCCTTAATATGCACGAATTGAAAGGGGTAAATCTTATTTCAGTACTGTTGACTTCTGTTAGCAATAATACAGAATCATTATATGTAACAAAGGAAAGAATGTCTATTTGAAAAATGAGGGAAAACATAAATATATCCTCTTTGCTAATCTATCCTCTGTGATGCAAATATTTAATTTGCTGACTTTTCAGAAAAATATATTGCAATTAGTGTGTAATCTGTAGACCCTTGTTAAAGATTGAGCTGCTTTACCTGCAAGTTAACACTGTAGCTCTCTAAACCATTCCATTGTACTAGTATATGGTATACACATTTAAATGAGTACCACAAAAAGTTATTTTCAATTTTCACTGCTCCTTTTCAATGCAAGCTATCCATCTTATTTACATTATACTGTAAGTGGACATTATTGATTAAATCTGTTAAAATGCAGCTGACAGACTTTATAAACCGTTAATATGAATATGTTACAATCAAGCTCTTTTCGTTGATGGTGTCTGCAACTGTACATCTTCTAACTTTTGAGATCATTGTGTTGTGTTTAACTGCTGGCATGTAAAAGGTCATTTCTGTAGATGTGACATTTTCTGTTTAAAAAGGCAGGTCATTCCTTTCTTATTTTATTTCTGTTAAAAAATAACTAAGCAACAACAAAGCTTTTTCCTGCTTCTAAGCAGCTTCATAAGGGAAACCAGAAGAATTTAGCTGTAAAATGTAGTTTCTTTCTCTTTTATGTGACTCCTATAATTCTGCACCATCCTCTCTGTAAGAGAGTGATCTGCATTTTAATCTGTATTAATGTCAGGTCAGAAGTTTCTCTTTGTTATAAATCATTTTCTAGAGCTGGGTGTTAACACTTACATAATTCCATTCTCACTGTATACATCTCATCTTTCAGGACCCCAGACTGGAATTGTCATCAATTGGATTTAGATGACAGACGAGTTAATCTTAGACATGTCTGGAGAATGCAGTGTCATCAAACTTTGCAGTGAATAGGGGCACCATTGCCTCTTTACTCCTGTAGGCATAGAAGGTGCCTGCATAATGTAAGGTGACACAGTTGTGCTGGTTGGATACAGCTTTATTTAAGATTGTCCTGCCTTGAACCTCTGTGTCCAGTGTCTGCATCCCTTTGTAAAACAAATGGAAACTGGTTAATGTTATACTGCGGAAATGAAAGATGCCCATTAAAAAGCCTGAAATGCCATTTTTCTCTCTGCTTTCAGGAATGAAAGGAGAGCCTTTATTCCCCGGGATGAGAGACATCACGCTTTACCAATACTTTGGTCTTCTAGATGGAGAAGATCTCTTTGTTCTGCAAAACCCAGCTGGAGATCATTTGCTAGAAGCCCACTTCCATTACATCACAGACTTCAATGACCTGCCCACCTCACTGTTTGCATGCAATGTGCACCAGTCTGTTTTTGAGGATAAGGTTGGGAAGGTAAGGTCAACCACTTGCTGTTTTCAGTGCATCTACTGTATAATAATCTGGTGCAATACAGAAAAATTGCCTGAATACCGAAAAACGTCTGACGGTAGGCTGCTCCTGTACATAATGTTCCTGAAATCAAACACTGGCAGTAAAAAAAATGGTGACTTCAAGGTAAATTTAAAATATATCTATGCATTTTCTCACATTGTATCGACTGATTTCCATTTTGAATTTTGTCTGCCAATCCATAGTCCACAGCCTGCAATCCACCACAACACACATCTTATAAACCTTCAAGGAGGAAGAATGCGCCAAATGTTAATTCAGTTTTTCAGCTCTATCCTAATTAAATTGGAAAGAAGAACAAATATGCAATTTGAAACAGAATGATGTATACTGTAGGTTTTACCTGCCTGGCTCAGGGAACAACTGTAAGGACAAGGCTTTCACAACCCACGGATTGATGAGCCTGGGAGCTGGAGTGTGAAGTGCTGTGGGAGTCAGTGGAAGAGGGTGAGGATAGGGTCTGACCGCTTCCTGAACTTTTGTTCAAAACTCCAGTCTTTCATGTCTTCAGAAATTGTAGTCACGCAAATACATCCAAGTAGGGAAAAAAAAGCTTTCACCTGTTCATTGATACTGTATCTGCAATTAGGAAATGTTTGAGCGGTGGGTTGGTGCAATATAGATTGATTATATGTTTTTAAAGAATGTATAAAATTTGCATTAGTCCACAGAGAACAGATCAAGTAGGTTCTTCATTGGTCAAAGATGGGATATCTGTTATCTTCTATGCAGTGTTGCTACTGGTGAAGAGTTTTCAGTCTTTCAGTGTGAGACTTCAGTCACTGTCATGCAGTAGGTATGATCTCAGATAGATTTGTTGCTTCTACCCATTGACAAGTACTGTAGCTACTGTTATGATATTTTGTACTGACTTTAGTGATTTTAGTGCTGACATGGTTGGAATCTAAGTTCCTACTTAGATTCAGATTACATGAAAACCTCGATGGCAATTACATGAGATTCTTTTCAGTTCCTAAATGACAGTTATCTCCCCATTCACCAGATGAATCATGAGACAAATTCTATTTTCAGACTCTATGAGAAAATTCCAGTGCCATTCTACGTATGAAATGAACTGGATTGGAGAGCATTAGTGTTACAGATTTTCTATACCAGCTTCTTCCCGTTGCTCATGTAGAAAAGTCTTGTATTGTATTTTACCCTTTATTTTAAGGTAAATACAGATATAATAATACGAGTATATGACATTACCACATCCTTTATATATTTTTTTATTCTATTATACACATTGGATGGTCATAATTTTGGACCTGCCGATAAAAATCCCAAACAATAAAGACATGAAAAATCAACAACCTATTGATGAAGACAAAAATATTGGTCTGAAAGAAAAGGCAGCACAAGATGCTGTAATTTGCCCCGGTCTTTTATCACTGTCATTGTCCTCCCTTTTTTGGGTACCACCCCCTTACCCGTTCTAAATACTTTGTTCCGCTGCTTTAGTAGTACAGTATATGGTTTTCTATTGCAGTCAGTGTAGTCTTAAATACACTGAGAATTTTGTGTTGGCTGCACTCTTCTTTTCCACTGCCTTCTCGAGGTTAGCCCTCAGCATTTCAATTAGACTAAGTCAGGTCAAGGTTACGGGTTTCAAAATCTGCTGTTTGTTTTTCTCTATTAGTCACTAAATGCGGGTGTTGTTCAGCTTTGTCTTAAGGGAACTAGTAAAAGAAGCAGGGTCCACCACACCAGGTGGACTCGATACAAACTTGTTCTTTAGTTAAAGTTTCTCGTCATCATACTCATATGCAGGTACGTGGTATAACGAAAATACAAAATATTTTTCCGTTATACCATAATGGAAATATAATCTCTGGTCTTTCCCATCCCTTACTACACTGTTCTTTCTTTTTCCTCTTGTGCACTAATCACAGTGTTATAACACAGTACACACCACACCGTCACACTCTCATAGGGTTTGCACAGCCCACAGCAACCTGATGTCCAGCCCTGCCACATCGCAGTGAATTACAGCCACCTCTGCGGGATACAGGTTTGTGGATTTCTTCTCAAGAGCCCCAGTGGAGGGCAAAGACTCCTTCCAGCCGTATGCACTGTAATTATGGCCTCCGTGACATTCACAGGCCTGCAGCATTCTAGGGACAGTGGTCGTATTCAACCTGCTTCTTGTACTCACGCCTACACATCAGTCACTCCGAGCCAGCTAGACACTCTGCCACACCCCTGCATGTGACAGGTGAACATACACCACATTTGCATCGGATCAACAAGCACACCAAAACCAACACACATCCCACTCGCGGTGGCATGGGAGGGTCCTCCACTGACACATCTCTAGGGAGAAGCAATCTTCCTCCTTTCTCCATAGTCTACACAAGAGTGAGAGAGAGAGACACGCAGCCTCTATCAGAATAGTCAGGCAGGCTGTTTGACACTGCCCACAGCGGTAGCTTATCAAATCGCCAATTTGTGGGTTCCTAAAAGCACACCGGCTGATGGCTTCTCACAGGGCTCTCAAATCAAATTCACCTTCTTGAGGCTATTACATGAAATTGGAATATGAAATGAATTTAGGTCTTCACAAATACAACATATTTCTTTTACTATAGCTCCTATTTGAGCACTATTTCGGACTTAAC